GGTCCCGTGCGCTGGGGGGAGCGGGCCGGAGGGGCCCCGGCTGCAGAGCCTGGCTGGGATTTATGGCCTTGGATTATGGGGAAGCCAAGACTTTAATTAAACAGTGCATGGGAAGATCAGATTGTGCTGCCGAGTGGAGTGCTTCCTCGGCCAGGCTCCCGCTGGGGTCCAAAGCCGGCATCCCTGCGCGGCGAGTGCTTCCTCGGCCAGGCTCCCGCTGGGGTCCAAAGCCGGCATCCCTGCGCGGCGAGTGCTTCCTCGGCCAGGCTCCCGCTGGGGTCCAAAGCCGGCATCCCTGCGCGGCGAGTGCTTCCTCGGCCAGGCTCCCGCTGGGGTCCAAAGCCGGCATCCCTGCGCGGCGAGTGCTTCCTCGGCCAGGCTCCCGCTGGGGTCCAAAGCCGGCATCCCTGCGCGGCGAGTGCTTCCTCGGCCAGGCTCCCGCTGGGGTCCAAAGCCGGCATCCCTGCGCGGCGAGTGCTTCCTCGGCCAGGCTCCCGCTGGGGTCCAAAGCCGGCATCCCTGCGCGGCGAGTGCTTCCTCGGCCAGGCTCCCGCTGGGGTCCAAAGCCGGCATCCCTGCGCGGCGAGTGCTTCCTCGGCCAGGCTCCCGCTGGGGTCCAAAGCCGGCATCCCTGCGCGGCGAGTGCTTCCTCGGCCAGGCTCCCGCTGGGGTCCAAAGCCGGCATCCCTGCGCGGCGAGTGCTTCCTCGGCCAGGCTCCCGCTGGGGTCCAAAGCCGGCATCCCTGCGCGGCGAGTGCTTCCTCGGCCAGGCTCCCGCTGGGGTCCAAAGCCGGCATCCCTGCGCGGCGAGTGCTTCCTCGGCCAGGCTCCCGCTGGGGTCCAAAGCCGGCATCCCTGCGCGGCGAGTGCTTCCTCGGCCAGGCTCCCGCTGGGGTCCAAAGCCGGCATCCCTGCGCGGCGAGTGCTTCCTCGGCCAGGCTCCCGCTGGGGTCCAAAGCCGGCATCCCTGCGCGGCGAGTGCTTCCTCGGCCAGGCTCCCGCTGGGGTCCAAAGCCGGCATCCCTGCGCGGCGAGTGCTTCCTCGGCCAGGCTCCCGCTGGGGTCCAAAGCCGGCATCCCTGCGCGGCGAGTGCTTCCTCGGCCAGGCTCCCGCTGGGGTCCAAAGCCGGCATCCCTGCGCGGCGAGTGCTTCCTCGGCCAGGCTCCCGCTGGGGTCCAAAGCCGGCATCCCTGCGCGGCGAGTGCTTCCTCGGCCAGGCTCCCGCTGGGGTCCAAAGCCGGCATCCCTGCGCGGCGAGTGCTTCCTCGGCCAGGCTCCCGCTGGGGTCCAAAGCCGGCATCCCTGCGCGGCGAGTGCTTCCTCGGCCAGGCTCCCGCTGGGGTCCAAAGCCGGCATCCCTGCGCGGCGAGTGCTTCCTCGGCCAGGCTCCCGCTGGGGTCCAAAGCCGGCATCCCTGCGCGGCGAGTGCTTCCTCGGCCAGGCTCCCGCTGGGGTCCAAAGCCGGCATCCCTGCGCGGCGAGTGCTTCCTCGGCCAGGCTCCCGCTGGGGTCCAAAGCCGGCATCCCTGCGCGGCGAGTGCTTCCTCGGCCAGGCTCCCGCTGGGGTCCAAAGCCGGCATCCCTGCGCGGCGAGTGCTTCCTCGGCCAGGCTCCCGCTGGGGTCCAAAGCCGGCATCCCTGCGCGGCGAGTGCTTCCTCGGCCAGGCTCCCGCTGGGGTCCAAAGCCGGCATCCCTGCGCGGCGAGTGCTTCCTCGGCCAGGCTCCCGCTGGGGTCCAAAGCCGGCATCCCTGCGCGGCGAGTGCTTCCTCGGCCAGGCTCCCGCTGGGGTCCAAAGCCGGCATCCCTGCGCGGCGAGTGCTTCCTCGGCCAGGCTCCCGCTGGGGTCCAAAGCCGGCATCCCTGCGCGGCGAGTGCTTCCTCGGCCAGGCTCCCGCTGGGGTCCAAAGCCGGCATCCCTGCGCGGCGAGTGCTTCCTCGGCCAGGCTCCCGCTGGGGTCCAAAGCCGGCATCCCTGCGCGGCGAGTGCTTCCTCGGCCAGGCTCCCGCTGGGGTCCAAAGCCGGCATCCCTGCGCGGCGAGTGCTTCCTCGGCCAGGCTCCCGCTGGGGTCCAAAGCCGGCATCCCTGCGCGGCGAGTGCTTCCTCGGCCAGGCTCCCGCTGGGGTCCAAAGCCGGCATCCCTGCGCGGCGAGTGCTTCCTCGGCCAGGCTCCCGCTGGGGTCCAAAGCCGGCATCCCTGCGCGGCGAGTGCTTCCTCGGCCAGGCTCCCGCTGGGGTCCAAAGCCGGCATCCCTGCGCGGCGAGTGCTTCCTCGGCCAGGCTCCCGCTGGGGTCCAAAGCCGGCATCCCTGCGCGGCGAGTGCTTCCTCGGCCAGGCTCCCGCTGGGGTCCAAAGCCGGCATCCCTGCGCGGCGAGTGCTTCCTCGGCCAGGCTCCCGCTGGGGTCCAAAGCCGGCATCCCTGCGCGGCGAGTGCTTCCTCGGCCAGGCTCCCGCTGGGGTCCAAAGCCGGCATCCCTGCGCGGCGAGTGCTTCCTCGGCCAGGCTCCCGCTGGGGTCCAAAGCCGGCATCCCTGCGCGGCGAGTGCTTCCTCGGCCAGGCTCCCGCTGGGGTCCAAAGCCGGCATCCCTGCGCGGCGAGTGCTTCCTCGGCCAGGCTCCCGCAGGGGGTCCAAAGCCGGCATCCCTGCGCGGCGAGTGCTTCCTCGGCCAGGCTCCCGCAGGGGGTCCAAAGCCGGCATCCCTGCGCGGCGAGTGCTTCCTCGGCCAGGCTCCCGCAGGGGGTCCAAAGCCGGCATCCCTGCGCGGCGAGTGCTTCCTCGGCCAGGCTCCCGCAGGGGGTCCAAAGCCGGCATCCCTGCGCGGCGAGTGCTTCCTCGGCCAGGCTCCCGCAGGGGGTCCAAAGCCGGCATCCCTGCGCGGCGAGTGCTTCCTCGGCCAGGCTCCCGCAGGGGGTCCAAAGCCGGCATCCCTGCGCGGCGAGTGCTTCCTCGGCCAGGCTCCCGCAGGGGGTCCAAAGCCGGCATCCCTGCGCGGCGAGTGCTTCCTCGGCCAGGCTCCCGCAGGGGGTCCAAAGCCGGCATCCCTGCGCGGCGAGTGCTTCCTCGGCCAGGCTCCCGCAGGGGGTCCAAAGCCGGCATCCCTGCGCGGCGAGTGCTTCCTCGGCCAGGCTCCCGCAGGGGGTCCAAAGCCGGCATCCCTGCGCGGCGAGTGCTTCCTCGGCCAGGCTCCCGCAGGGGGTCCAAAGCCGGCATCCCTGCGCGGCGAGTGCTTCCTCGGCCAGGCTCCCGCAGGGGGTCCAAAGCCGGCATCCCTGCGCGGCGAGTGCTTCCTCGGCCAGGCTCCCGCAGGGGGTCCAAAGCCGGCATCCCTGCGCGGCGAGTGCTTCCTCGGCCAGGCTCCCGCAGGGGGTCCAAAGCCGGCATCCCTGCGCGGCGAGTGCTTCCTCGGCCAGGCTCCCGCAGGGGGTCCAAAGCCGGCATCCCTGCGCGGCGAGTGCTTCCTCGGCCAGGCTCCCGCAGGGGGTCCAAAGCCGGCATCCCTGCGCGGCGAGTGCTTCCTCGGCCAGGCTCCCGCAGGGGGTCCAAAGCCGGCATCCCTGCGCGGCGAGTGCTTCCTCGGCCAGGCTCCCGCAGGGGGTCCAAAGCCGGCATCCCTGCGCGGCGAGTGCTTCCTCGGCCAGGCTCCCGCAGGGGGTCCAAAGCCGGCATCCCTGCGCGGCGAGTGCTTCCTCGGCCAGGCTCCCGCAGGGGGTCCAAAGCCGGCATCCCTGCGCGGCGAGTGCTTCCTCGGCCAGGCTCCCGCAGGGGGTCCAAAGCCGGCATCCCTGCGCGGCGAGTGCTTCCTCGGCCAGGCTCCCGCAGGGGGTCCAAAGCCGGCATCCCTGCGCGGCGAGTGCTTCCTCGGCCAGGCTCCCGCAGGGGGTCCAAAGCCGGCATCCCTGCGCGGCGAGTGCTTCCTCGGCCAGGCTCCCGCAGGGGGTCCAAAGCCGGCATCCCTGCGCGGCGAGTGCTTCCTCGGCCAGGCTCCCGCAGGGGGTCCAAAGCCGGCATCCCTGCGCGGCGAGTGCTTCCTCGGCCAGGCTCCCGCAGGGGGTCCAAAGCCGGCATCCCTGCGCGGCGAGTGCTTCCTCGGCCAGGCTCCCGCAGGGGGTCCAAAGCCGGCATCCCTGCGCGGCGAGTGCTTCCTCGGCCAGGCTCCCGCAGGGGGTCCAAAGCCGGCATCCCTGCGCGGCGAGTGCTTCCTCGGCCAGGCTCCCGCAGGGGGTCCAAAGCCGGCATCCCTGCGCGGCGAGTGCTTCCTCGGCCAGGCTCCCGCAGGGGGTCCAAAGCCGGCATCCCTGCGCGGCGAGTGCTTCCTCGGCCAGGCTCCCGCAGGGGGTCCAAAGCCGGCATCCCTGCGCGGCGAGTGCTTCCTCGGCCAGGCTCCCGCAGGGGGTCCAAAGCCGGCATCCCTGCGCGGCGAGTGCTTCCTCGGCCAGGCTCCCGCAGGGGGTCCAAAGCCGGCATCCCTGCGCGGCGAGTGCTTCCTCGGCCAGGCTCCCGCAGGGGGTCCAAAGCCGGCATCCCTGCGCGGCGAGTGCTTCCTCGGCCAGGCTCCCGCAGGGGGTCCAAAGCCGGCATCCCTGCGCGGCGAGTGCTTCCTCGGCCAGGCTCCCGCAGGGGGTCCAAAGCCGGCATCCCTGCGCGGCGAGTGCTTCCTCGGCCAGGCTCCCGCAGGGGGTCCAAAGCCGGCATCCCTGCGCGGCGAGTGCTTCCTCGGCCAGGCTCCCGCAGGGGGTCCAAAGCCGGCATCCCTGCGCGGCGAGTGCTTCCTCGGCCAGGCTCCGCTGCAGAGCCTGTCGCTGCGGTGGAGATAAATCCCGAGATTTATGGCCCCCTTGTTCATCTGAGAGCCAGTGGCCTTCCCGCCTGCCAGCCGGCCTCCTCAGAACCTGCCCGCGCGGCGAGGGTGTTGTGCAGAGTGACTCACGCGGAGCCGCTCCCCGGGAAGAACTGAGTGTTCCCGGCCCCCTCCCCGGAGCTGGCAAACAATCCAGCATCTCTCCTCTCCTTGCCCAAGTTCATGGACTGCTTCATGATTGGCTGGGAGCTGGTGCGGCTGCTGCAGAACGTTGCCAGGATACCGGAGTTTGAGCAGCTCTGGAAGGACGTTATCCACAATCCGCAGGCGCTGAGCGCCCAGTTCACAGGTAGGCGGCACCC